GCTCGGGGGCGGGGTGATGAAGGCGGCCGATGCGTCGGCGAAGGCCATGCCGCGGTGGGGAATGTGCACCGGCGGCCGGGGTGGTGCCGTGTGAGGGCGCTCGGCCCCGGGGTTGAGGCGCTCGGCGAAAGAGGGTGCAGATGGCGGGAGGGCGGGGACCGTGGGGATGGGTTCCAGGTCTAAAATTCCTTCTGTTAGTTACAACGCACACGTGAGAAAATTGCTATATTTGGTATCGTCTGAGCTTACCGTGCGCTGTCAGTGCCATCGAATGGGCAGTCGAAGGCCGGCTGCTGGCGTAGATGCTCTGACGCTCCATGACTAGCTCGATTTCGCGCTGGAGCTTGTCGACCTCCAGCATGGCGCCGGCAATCCGCTCCTTCATCCTCTCTGCGCTCGCGCTGGATGACGTCTGGGACCGGGCCCTCGACTTTGGCGGAATTTTCGGGGGCGTATCGCTGGCCATGGTAGCGAGGGTGGATGGCGACGCCGACATTTTCCGCGGCAGATGGAACGACATGGGGGAATAGTTGGGCTCATGCGAGGGTCCGAATACATCGTCGTCGGGATTCGGCCGGACTTGAGCACTAGGCCGCGGAGGCGTAACCATGTCAAAATGCGGCAGAATTGGCGAGAGCTCCCTCTTGTGCACGTATATGCTGAGCTCCAGCGGTCTGAAAGAAGAAGGGCGAGGTCGCGGCATGGGACGCGGTGGCGGTGTCCGGCCGACGTGCTGGAGGTTCGAATACTGGGGGAACTGAAATGACTCTGAATGCAGATGGCGAAAGTTGCTGGGGGCCGATATTTGTAGTCGGCGCGAAGAGGAGTCTGAGCGAGATCGCTTTCTCACAGAGAACCGCTCCCGGAGCGACGCGAAACTTCTCTTCACTCCTTTCGACTTCCCCTGCGGCTGCGGACGAGGTCCGGCTGACTTTTGCATTGTCCCAGCAAAGGGCGGCGGCATGGGCACGGGCTGGTTGCGGGTTACGGTGTGTGGTGGTGACAGTTTCTCAGAAATGTCAAAGGTGTCTAAGCGGAGTGTGCGTGTTAGTCCCTCTGGTAGTTGGATATTTTTTGTGTGTATTGCTACTGGGAAACCCAAAGAGCACAACTCACTTTGACGCGGCTTCTCTTCTACGGAGTCAGAAAATGGAGCGCAGCAGTTTGTGAGGGGCGAAAGCCATGTCGCATAGGCGTCTGCAAGTATGCCACTCAGACCCTTCATAATACCTGGTTTACAGATAGCTTCATGCCGGACATTTGCTGGAGACGGGGGGGGGGGGGTAAAAAAGACAAAAAAACGAGAGACGGCCAGCGATTTGACAGAACGAAAGACGGGAAGATGCAAAGAGGGCGGCAAAGCGCAAGAGTCGAGAGTGCGAGCGATCCGATTGAGTTATAACAGATGGGTACGGATGACCATGAGGCAAGGTAAGTAAGTACCTTGGCCGTGGAAGGCGAACAGTTCCGAACAGGTAGTAGGCAATGTCAAAGGAAACCCACTTGGGGTGTGGCCGACTTGATCTCTTTTTTGTCACGCAGTCGAGGCATTTTGAATCCCAATTCCCACTTTGGGCGAGAGATTTGAACAAGTGCTTTGATTCATAGGTCCAGCTGAGAAGAAGATGGAGGGACATGGAGGGGACATGGGCCTAGCAGTTGTCGGCGAGGTGTGCAGTCAAGATGCAGACGGACCGTTCTGATAGGCCGGGGTTGCAGAACGGGCCAGACACGGCCGGCCAACCGGCGCTTAGGAAGCTGGGGTGTTGTCGGATTCGGATGGCTGGCGGCACACCACCATCCTGCACCAGATTGAAGGGCTCCACCAGTCGTGTAAGATGAAGACGATGGCTCAGCGAGTCGATGTCTCACCTCTGCCTTGCTCTGGGATACTGGACTGCCCAGCTTGACCAGCAGTTGCTTGCCACAAGTGCCCCTCCAGAGAGGGCTCCAGAGGGCTAGCCAGAGGGGGGGGAGGCAACGAGGGTCTCGTGCCAGTCATGAACTGTCATGCTACGATACATCATACCTTACCCGTCACCGCTCCTTGTCATCTCTTGGGGCGCCGGGCCCACGAACACCTTTGTCGAAAATTATTGACAAACAGGGCAACGGGCTGAAGCCTGAGAGTGAAGGGTAATTCGACGCCGTGTGCGTGTTTCCAGTCGGGCAATTAATAAGGCTCCTGTGACCAATCACTGGGCCATGTCTGGCTGTCTATCCAAACGGAAACCAATAAACCTAGCCTAGTTACTCAGTGACATGTTCCAACCTGGGCGGACGGGAAGCAATGAGAAATCATTGTGGTATGCAAGGCACCGCGGGTGGCAGGGGGTAACGCGGGAAGCCTATGTGCGGATTTGGGGATGCGTTGTGCCGTCACAACTCCCATCGTCGCTCAGCATGTCTCCGGTCATTGTTGCAGGACGCCATCGCCGTTGGATGGTTGTACGGGGAGGGCGAAGCCGATGGGCTGGCCGACGGATGGCAACTGTGGACAAGGTCAACAGAGAGGGTGTTGTTGTGCTCTGTTTCTGTCCCGCTCCGCTTTGCATTTGCCCCTCCCGATTTTCTCTGGATCTAATAAAAGCCACTCGAGCAATCAGCATCGCTTGACGACTGTCGCGATGATTCTGACTGTAGTGGTTGCAGAACCCCAGCCGGATCGTGAGAAAAGAAGTCTCCGGCGTGTGATGACTCGAGTCTAGCAAAATAGTGTCGGGAAACCGTTGCTGGGAACTGTGGCGGAGTCCCTCGTCATCGTTTGGTCTGAAGAAAGCTGGTGGACGAGAGACTTTGGCAGAGTTCCTCGTGTTACTCTAGCGCAAACAGAATGTCTCGGGCGAGCCGCCACAGTGGAAAGAGAAAAAGAGGAGATTCGGTAAGTGTCTTGCTGATGTAAGATAGCTGACATAAGCTGAATGGCATCAGACTTTGAGCTAAAGAGATTGCACGTGATACGGTGGGTGACTAAGGTAGCTCGACCGTTTGAACCTGCGTGCCTGCCTGTGAAGCGGAGGTGCATTTGAGTTTGGGTATGGTCCAAGCGTCTTCCACCTGGGCTGACGAGCTTATCGATAACGGGTGTCGGAGAAAGAGATTACCGAATTTCTATCAATGGACGGGAATTGGACCCAATGGGTGGAGGGGACGGACCTTACCCCCTGCACGGATTTTTGGACCAGAAGTGAACACCTGGCTTGCTTGCTGGTCACTTTTTGTTCAAAGACCCAGCCCACGACCGCAACTCCCACGGTCAAACTACCGCTCATCCAACAAAACCTGATCCAGCATTCAGGCTTCCCAATTGTCGCCGGACTCCTCCAATCCCGCCGACAACCTTGGCACAGAACAATCAGAGTTCTTCCTCGCATCTTTCCAAAACACTGGTTGCCTTCGAGCACTAGCCCACATTCGAAGATGTCGATGCCAATGCCCGGCCCCATGGGCCCTATGCAGATGGGCCCCAACGGCCAGCCCATGCCTTCGCCTGAGCAGATCGCGGCCATGCGCAGACAAATAGAGGCCGATGCCCAAAAGGCCGGCATGAGTGTCCCGGATTTCCTCAACCACCTCCGACAGCAGGCCATGCAGCAGCAGCAGATGGCTATGCGGCAGCAGCAGCAACAACAGCAGCAGCAGCAGGGCAGCGAAGGTGGAGAGGGCGGTCATGATCACGCTCACGATCACGATCATGACCACGAGGGTCACCAGCATCCTCACCCTCATCAGCACCAGCAGCAGCAGCCGCAGCAGGGCCAGCCGCAGCCCATTAGGCCTGGTCCGCCCAACCCTATTGCGCTTGCGCTGGCCAGCTTCCTTCGCGCCCAGGATCTGAAGCCCCGTACCTGTATTCTCAACGGCGAGCGCAAGGACATGTTCAAGGGTAAGTACTGAGTCGTCGTGACTGGTAACATTCGAACCAATTCTGACATTTGTATCATAGTCAAGCGTGCGCTCCGCGCTCTCCAGTCCCCCGCCTACGAGAAGGCGCGCAAGAAGAACCCCGAGTTGCCCGAGATCACCGATCGCGCGTCACTGGAGAACACCTTTAAGCTTCTTCCCATGTCGATGCTTGCCCTGCGCGTCACCAAGACCGATCCTCACGAAGGCCACGACCACGGCCCGAAGAAGACAAAGCGCATCAAGGGTCTCTGGACCGTCCGCATCGAGCCTCAGCAAGAGGCCAAGGAGGAGATGTACTACGCGTGGTTCTGGGAGGGCAGCCAGGTTAAGCGCAAGCTGTACTCGATCCTCGCCCTCGTGCTCATCTTCATCGTCGTCTGCTACCCCCTCTGGCCCCTCAAGCTTCGTCTCGGTGTGTACTACCTCAGTTGGGGATTCTTGGGCTTGCTCGGCCTGTTCTTCCTCATGGCCATCTTCCGTGTCATTCTCTTCTGCATCACCTACTTTGTCGCATCTCCCGGCCTTTGGTTGTTCCCCAACCTGTGGGAGGACGTCTCATTCATGGACAGCTTCAAGCCCGTCTGGGCCTGGCACGATGTAAGTTGTACTACCCCGTGCTATCAACGTCATTGGACAATAACTAACAAAAAATAGACTGCTCCCAAGAAGGGTAAGAAGAAGAAGGCCTCATCCGGCGGTGCCTCGAGCGCTGGCGGTACCTTCGCCGCATCTACTGGCCAGCCCCTCCCGGCTTCCGCGACCACAACGGCCACGGAGACGCAGATTGCATCGCAGCCCGCGCAACGCCCTGGCTACGTCGCGCCAGCTGTGGAGGAGCTTGGTGACGATGAGGAGTAGATGCATTTTCGAGGTGGGCAGTTTCGCATCAAACAGGCGTTGGGGATTTTTCATTGGCTGAAGGAAGAACTGTACGAGTAGAATACCCATCGTCCAAGCTAGCTGAACGTGTGGGTTTGGGAACGACAGAGACGATCTCGGTACATAGCATTTTGGTCACTTTGGCTCTCCTAAGTTAACTCAATGGACGACAAAAAGCTAAATCGGCCCTCCGCAGTCATTAAATGTGATTTTTTTTTGCATTCAGTCTTTGAAGTCAGAAAATGGTAGCGCGGCAGGAATTACTCATTACTAGTATGCTTATATGCTTTTTACATGCTCAACACCATATGATCCTTCTACTGGACCGAACCTTCAGAGCGCTCGTAGTACCAAATAGCACCGGGCGTAGTCGCGCAGTTCGTCACACGCCCGCCATTAGCATCAGCAGCGACGGGCACGGCGTCCCCGCGCTGGGGCTTGCCGTGGACGTGGAAGTAGTACCAGGCCTCGGTGAGCTGGGTGTACCCGTTATCCAGAGAGCCCTTGCCGGCCTCGGTGGCGTTGTACCGGGGTCCGTAGCAGCCCAGGTAGGGGACGGCGCCGTGGCCTTCCTTGAGTGCGGCCTGGAGATCTGAGAGGGAGTAGGCGGTCGCGTTGGACGGGGTGATGTCCTTGGCGGCGAGCCACTTCCAGGTCGGGGTCTCTTGGTAGTAGTGGACAGCGGTCTCGAGGAAGTCGACGACTTCTTCGTGCTCTTGGTACTTGGGGCCGTAGCATTCCACGTCAAATGTGCTGAAGCAGGTTGCGTGCTTGGAGAACTCGTGGGCCCAGAGGACCCAGTTGGGGGTGTACTGGGCGATCCAGAATCTGGTTGCACGAGCAGTTTTGTAAGATTGTGTGTCTTGTATGATAGGCCAAAGGGGGGACTCCTGGGACGGGGGGATCTTACTTCTTCATGTACTCGAGAAGATCAAACCTCTCAAAGGGCTTGACAAACTCATCCAGGGAGGCACCGGTCCAGGCGGGGACCGGTGTGCCGTCCGCCTTTCCGGTGGTGGTGTTGGGAGAAGGAGCTGGATCGTACTGACGGCTGAGGTCGCAATACTGGGTGTACGAGCCGTTGCAGAAGTCGGGCCACAGGCCGTGAATTCCCCACGCGTCGGCGGGCAACTTTTGGCCTTCGGCTTCAAGACCGGTGTGAGTATTCCAGAATTGAGTTGCCAAGACCAGGCCACCAAACGTCTCGGTGCAGCACGTGTCGACCTTGTCGGGGTTTGCGCCGCAAGAGCAAGACAGAATGGGTTCGACTGTGAGGCGTGAAGTGTCAGTTGAGTCGTAGGTCCTTACGAGCTCACCGAGGTCTTACCGAGAGCGCAGGTGTGGTTGGCGGTGGTCAATCCCGGGTAAAGGCCGGCTGCGGCCGTGCGCAACAGGCCAGCAACCGCAAGGAGTCCAATTGTTCGAGACATGTTGTCGGGTTTGCAGATTACAATTATCTCACAAAAGTTGGCGAAGACCGGACACAGAGGGGGGGGGACAACGACACAACGATAATTAAATCAACTTGTGCAGCTTCGCGACACTTTATATTCGCAGTCTCCTCTCTATCTATCTTTCCAGCTGGGGCCAGCATGGTTGGAAAAAAAGGTTCCAATCTCCACACAGGAAGCGATGTTGGCAATGCTCTTGACTTGAAAAGGAAGCTGGCCAACAGTTAAAAGTGCTTGTCAGGTCTTGTCAGCCGTCGCTGCCGTCGGCGGACCAGGGCCCATTTGTGGGGGGTAGCACTCCCACCTGCTCGAGATACGGGACGTGAGAGGTCAATTGGAGCGCGGGGCGATAATCGGGAGAGTGGTTTGCAGTAGCGCCAATGCGATTTGACAAGGCGTCTGTTGACTGTCGTAGTGTGTCTGTCTGTTAAGCAAGGGGAATGACCCGCGATGACAGCTTTTTTGGGAAGTGTGGCCGTTGACTACGGCGAGCTCCGAGGATAAGGGAACCTTGGAATTGATAAAGTCCAACGCATGCCTGCGTGCCTGTCACCCTTGAATTGCGAAGCTGAGTTGCTGGGACGCGGCGGGATGCACTCGCATTTTCCGTTCAGGTCCTGATGGATGGTCGACCTCGCTTAGCCATAGCTATGGAACCGGGGCAAGAGCGGAGGGCTGCGAAGACGGGGATCCTTGATCAATGATGACAGCAACTGGCAGGAGGTGATAGAAGAAACTTCTATGGCTTCCAGAAACCTTGCGATGGGAACGTCCCTAGGTACCTTACGGAGTACCATTGTCTCTTCTCAGTCAAGTGGCGGTGCACCTTGACAGCAACTGTGGCGTAAGCTGGTCTTTCCAGGTCCTCGAATTTGGCAGGACCAGGGCGCCGGGGAACACGTGAACAATGGGCCTGAGGAAGCTCCCGCACAGGCCACCTCCAGCCTCCAGTCACGGGGAGCTACAGCAGGTGCTGTCGTTTCACACCTTCCCGCTTCATTCTCCAGGTTGAGTCTGTCTGGCAAGAACGTCCCAGGGAGCAAATTTTCAACTACACGCTTCCTCTTCATCCTTTGAATGTCATCAAACGTACCATCTCATTGTCGCACATCTTCTTCCATTGTCTGCATTGTATTCTACTCACTTTCCCGTTGCCATTACCTGCGATTGTAAGACCACGACTCGATCACCTGTTCCTCGTGAGCTACCTCGTTCATCAAGCTCCGCGTCTTATCTCATCATATCCGCCGACATCTGAACACCATTGTAAGTTGTTTTTGTTTCTTAGATTCTTGTACACGGAAAGCTTTCTTTCCCGCGTGTCTGCGTCTGAATAGACCCGATTGGCATCAGACAGGCACCATAGCTTGGCTCATGCTGTGATTCACTCACACGACCTCACTCTCATGCCTACGATTCGCTCCCGTAGACGACGACATTATTATAAAGCAGTCTTGCTCTCATCGCCCGGCCACTAATTACTCCATTTCCTTTCATGCAGCCTTGATGACATCCACGAAGGGCTGTCACGAATCGGAGGTTTTCTTCAGCCCGACTAACACCATCTAGGTCGATCCACATCACCGTACAGGCCAGGATGTCAACCGATGCGCCAGTCGCCGCCTCGAATGGCATCCCCGAAGTTGTCACTCCGGATGCCAAGCAAGAGCCTACGGAGGAGCAGGAGATGCCGTTCTCATGGCTGTAGGTGATGACATTGATGTCACAAGCATATTGATCTAACAACTCCTAGTCAGCCACACTCAACGTTCGCCATCGTCCTCGTCGGAACCGAACAGAAGCCGTTTGGCCTTCAGAAAGACTTCTTGTGTGCCAAATCAAAATACTACCGCGAATACTTCAAAGGACAGAACGCAGCCTCCGAGGCCATCGAGAATGTGGTGAAGCTCCCACAGTACACACCGGAAGTCTTCGGCTTGGCTCAGCTGTTTCTCTTCACTGGAGAAGTCTCAGAGGATGCCGAGTCGTTTACGTCCTATGAGTCACTTGTTGGTGTGTGGAAGCTGGGTCACGAACTGGGTATCGATGGTCTCTGCGACACGAGTCTTGACGCAATGAAAGAGTGCAGACGTCTCACTCAAAACATACCCGCCACTCCCCTTCTTGTCCAAGTTTGGAAGGACACCCCTGAGGGCTCAACTATTCGGAAGCTCCTCCTCTCATGGGCGGCAGAGTATATGCGTTCGTCCGACAAGAAAGCCGAGTTTGCCAAGTCTCTCCCTCAGGAGGTTCTGAGCGAGCTGGTGGTGACTATGAGTTCACTCGAGAACCTACCTACGCCGCCTGCAGCAGCCGACACTGCGTCCGCCGAGCCCACTCCTAGAAAGAGTGTGCACTATCTGGAGGAGGACAGTGAAGAGGAACAAGAACACATGTCCAAGAAGAACAGGCGGGCCTCTGCGCCGTTACCGGCGTCCCAGAATAGAGACAAGGCGTTTTCCCGCGCGCCACCTCCCCCGGTCCGCAAGGCGGCGGCTGTAGCGGCAGCAGCATCGGCACCTCGTCAAAAGCCCGTCATCCAGAAACGACGCAGCATTGTTACGGGGCCAAGTGGCGAAATCACGACCTCTCAGAAGGTCGAGTTCTGTTCCGATCTGCTTGATAGAATGCTATCGGGACCTGGTATGTCATGTCTTGGCGAATCATTACACGTAGTCGCACAAGCTGACCTGCTACAGGCTTTTGGACGAGACTGGTTGGTCCGTTCAAGGAACCTGTCGATCCTGCCGAGGATGGTGTACCCGATTACTTTGAGAAGGTGAAGAAACCAATGGATCTCAACACAGTCAAGCTCAAGATGTCACAACACCAGTACCAGACAGAAGACGAGTTTGCCGCCGATGTGCGCCAGATTTTCGAGAACTGCTACACGTACTGGAAAAAGGGCGATCCCATGTGGGCGGCATGCGAGAAGTTCCAGCGGACATTTGAGGACAAGTATGCCCAAATGCACAAGAACATCTCCAAAATGCTACGCGAGCCAGTCGACTAGACTGTTATCGTCAACATGATTCTCCAGCTCGTGGTACTTTTCATGATATGGATTGGGGCTTTACGTGTATAATATTTCATGAGAAGACGGACGGCAGTTTTCTTATGCTTGGAGCGCGCTGCTGAGGTTAATCTTAATGGAGGAGCGCGATAAGAGCGTGCTATATAGTGTGTATCGTTAGAGGCAAGGTGCAAGGAATTGGGGAGGAGGAGTGGATATGCTTTCGAGGAGGATAATACCCAGACCGGCCTCGAGCAGCGCAAGACAGACAGACCTAGCTATGCCATATCACATGTATTCGTACTCAACCCAAGGTAGAAAGACACACTAGCGACATGACTGATGCAAAGCTGGAAGCTTGTCGCCCTGTTCAATCTCACGTGTCCACGTGCCAACGTGGCAGCAATGTTCACGTCTCCACTACACTCTGTCGATTGCGAGGTGAACCTTGCTGCCACTTTATTTTCTTCATCAGCCGCCCTCGTCGCCGTCCGTATCATTTCTTTGGCTAGATCTGTCAACGTGTCGAAGCAACTTGTCAAGGTATTCCGTTCCGAAAGAACGTATACCTTTCTCCATGATGGTGTCCCTGATGGTGTCATGAGAGTTGGGCACTGATCATCGAGGGATTATTCTGATTTAGATCCCAACAAATCGTTTGGGCGCGCAATAGTCCAGTCCCAAGTCAATTACTCATTCCATCCAAATTATCTATTCAGTACTTTCCAGTCCCATTCGTGAGGTATTTTTTGTGGTTCCCCCGAAGGTAAAAAAGGAGGCGCCTGGCGTCTCTCTCCCTCCCGCCGGCGCGGCTGAGGCTCTTGCGAGAGAAAATCGTACGCTACTCCGTACTACGCATACCATTACCGGCAGGCTGGGCTGGGCAGCGGGCGACCGACCCTCAGCTTTTCTTAGCTACGTCTTAGCCTCCTGATGCATCGGACCGAATATCCACGGCGCCGGCACCTGGATTCGCGTGGGGAAGGGGACGTTAGTCTCGGCGTTACCTCTACGTCAGGTGGCAGCTAGTCTCGGTCTCTGTTTCTTCTATGAGTCTTTTGGGTGTTTGGTGGATAGTGTGCGCGAGTCGAGTCAAGGAATCCAAATCATTTTCTTTTTGGTGTTGGGCTGGGTTGGGGGGTTTTTTTTGATGGGGCTCTTCAGGTTTAGTGAGAAACTGCAGAGTCTAGGCCGCTGATTGCGGTCTACGGTTTTACCCCAGTTCCCACCTCGCCACTTTTTTGTCCCCTTTTTTGTTCTCCAGACTCCAGACTCCAGGTTCTGCGTCGTCCCATTCTGTAGTCTGGAGTCTGTAGTCTGCAGTCTGTAGTCTGCAGTCTGCAGTCTGGAGGAGTCTGGAGAATTGGAATACTGGAGTTTCTGACACCCCAGGATCGGCAGACATCAGGTAGGAAGAGTCCCATCATCCCCACGTTGTCAAATTGTCTCTTTAGCGGGGAGAACGACTTCGAGACCATGATCTTATCACATGATGCATGGCACCATTGAGGTTTTTTTTATTGTTTCTTGGTATTCTCGCTTGGAAGGACTGTTTGGTGGAGCGGTCCCCATCTGCCAAGAGAGGTTGTTTGATAAAGAATCCTCACAACTCGGTGTTACAGAGAAAAGACATATTGCAGGCTTCTGATGTGATACGCACATAACATGGCACGATCTTTCGGAGAGATGTCCGGCAGGGGCCCTGTTAAAGCCTCATTGCTCTCACAGACGTGCGGCGTATAGGATTCGGCCGAGTCTTTGCCCATTCCCAACGCTTTCATGAACATTTCATGTGTAACTGTATTACCCTCAAAAAGTTTTCATCAATAACGCCATCATCCCACCGCAAGGGGAAAAAAAACACCAAAAGAGAGAAAGCGAAAAAAAAGCCTCAACAGTCATACATGATACCTGCCCGTTAACCTACAACCACTGAACCAAAAGCCCACTCGCAGAGCAACCCAATAATTCCAGAGACCAATGTGAAGTAGACTAGACCGTCTCTTCTCCTTCTTCTTTTTTGCGAGATAGTACCCGTAGCGCCATGCTAGATCCGGACAGGGCGAGCCAATCGTTCCCCCGCGTCCCCAACCCTCCCCAGTCCCCGCGTCAACAGTTCAAACCGTCGATATACTC